GTTTTTTTTTTTTACTCTTTTCCCGGCTGCATTGGGGATCCCTCTTGTGTTGGGAGGGAAAGCAAAAGATAGTTGAATCTTACTAAACTTAAATTCAGAAAAGGTTAATTTTTCAAGTTGAATTAGAAAATGTCCAAAGAATATCTGCTTTACAAGGATCTAGGAAATTATAACATTGCCCAGATTAGAACATTGACCTACTTTATATGACATTTAGCAAGTTCTTCTGTGTCATTCTCTTCTGAAAATGAGAGAGTTGGTTAAGATCTTTTCCAAGTCTAAAATTTTTTCATAATGTCTGTTGGCCTAGGATGCCATTTACCACCCCTTCTAAGTCTTCCTTAGTCACATAGCTCTTCAGTTCCCTTTTTTTTAAAAATTAGTTCTGTGATCTGAAATTTATTTTGAAATCCATTTTCTTTTCTATAACATGGGGGATAAATGCTTAACCTGGAAGCTCATTGAGGACAATACCTGGTACATACATATGCTTATTAATGAACATCTGGGGCAGCTGTTTTAGTGAGGATGAAAGAAAGCCCCTTCTCTGCCTCCTTATTTATTTAGTTTGCTGACCCTGGAACCATTTAGGTTATAGCAGTGAGAAAAAAACCACTAACCAAGAGTGACGCTTCAGTGAGGGACATGAATATTAAACATGCAAACTTTAATAGGTTAAGGAAGTACAAGAGCAGTGCAATCTGAATTTATGTGGCCATTCCAACTTCAGGGAAAGGGAAGGGAAGCAGCCATCCCTTCCATCTTACTCTGCTCCCTTGTTGGAGGTTGAGGGTATCTATATAATTAAATACTTTAGCATATCAGGAGATAGGTAACCTTAGCAAAACCAAATTTATGAATTAAAACTTGAGTTCTCTTGGAATGCAGTACAAAGCAAGGATCAGAATGATGAGAAAAAATATATTAAGACTTTTGAAGATAGATTCAGGAGAGTCAGTATCAGAATTATGTGAAGAAAAGAACTGAGTAATGGTAAGAGTTAAAAAAGAAGAGGAAAGGTCCACAAAGGTAAAAGATTTGTCTTGAGATTGAAAACACTTGCTGTTTTGCTAGTGCTGATGACATATATCTAGATTTTCTGATGAAAATTTCTTTCAAAAGTCCTAGAAGCCACCTGTTAGGGTAGAAAAGTTGCCTGCAGAGGAATGAGAATAAAAGTGAGGTTAGATTTTTGATCTGTGTAGTTACTTATCAGAAGACAGCAGGATTTATGTAATTCTTAGGGGTAAATGGTATGACTAAAATTCTGAGCTTGTGCAATTTATGCAAGAGCTTTGGACTGTTAACATTGAGGTTTGACCTGCCTTGTTTTGGGAGATGTTTATAGTTTCATTTTTGAGGTTAGATTCACTGTGAAATAAAAATAATGAGGAAAATAGTGAAGTAAAATTAGGATATAGAATCATGCTGTCCAGTGGGACTTTCTGCAGTGACGAGGATATGGTGGTAACTATTTTGCATCCCCATCAGCAGAGTTTAATAGTTCCCTCTCTTAGATAGCTCACAGGCCTCTCACTTCTACTTTGCATTTCATCTCTTACCACAGCTTGGTATTTAGCCTAGTGCCTAATGGGTTCTGGTTAGATATTTTTTGTTTGTTTTTTTACTAAGTATAGAAGCCTCAAAATACAGTGATTTAGGGAATGAAAAACAAATATACTTTGCTTTATACCTTTAGGTTATGGTTTGCATTTTCCTCTCCATTTACTGTCATCACCTTTGTTCAGACTTCTGCTTTTACATCTTCTATCAGGTCTTTTGTCCTGGACTTCCCCCACTTCAGATCGTTACTCTTATTGGATATATAAATCTGACTCTGTGACTACAACATTTTCTGAATTATCTTTAGGAAAAGAACTTTTAGGAAAATATTGTGTACAATTTTTTAAAATTACCATTAGTTTGACATAGTTCTGGAAACTAAAAATAGATTGCTTGATTTCCACCCCCCCTTGGCATTATTGTGTTATAATGAAGTTTGATTTTTAACTTAGCATTTTAAGCTGCTGAGTTTTTAAGGAGATGCCATAGTTTTAATTTTGTGGTGGGCATCTTTGAGGGGGGTCATTACTTGCAGGTCATGATAACATTTGTACTGCAAGAAAATGAAAAGCATAGCATTGTTGGGTATTCATTAAAATGCCCAGGCACAAAGTTACGATTAATCAGAGAAATTGTTCATTAGTCATTTATAATAGGAAAAAAAGGTTCCCACATGAAATTGAGACTAAAAGTTTGTTTACTTTAGTCGTAAGTTTGTTAATGTGACATAGCAATGGTTAAATGCTCTAAAATTACTAAGGCAACATTAAAGGCTGATTGTAAAATGTTTTTATTGAAATTAAAGTCTATTTAAACTTTATACCAAATGGGGCCTGAGATGTAAGCTTTATTTTAGAAAGGGTAAGTAATAGTGGACTCTTGATAAATTTTGGAATTTTGCTAACTTTGGATTCTGTGGGCTTGTCTTATTGTAATGTAGTTTATGTAAAAATTTATCTCATAAAACCAGTTTAAATGTTCTACCTAGTTGAGAAATTCTACTATATTGTGCTAAAAATTAGTTAAAGGTAGTTGCTCTTTAGTAGACATGTTTGATAATCTTACTAAAGCTAAAGGCATCTTTTAGAGTATACATCTGGAACCCACAAGTTCTAGGTCTCTAATGACTTTAGGCCAGACAAGTTAACTTTTGGAATTGTGTAAGTCAGCACTTACATATTTTGGAATATGTACCATCTATGATACATATAACTTACCCATCTTCCTTAATCCAGACAAAAGCCATGCAAGGCTAGCAATATTGTTCCAGTTTTACAGCTGAGCAGGTGGTGAAGTTTGATTCAAGTGTAGATGACTCCAGAACACTTCCATTTTTATTGTCCTGACTCACTTATTCAGAAGCTTGTCTGCAGATTAATGATTTTTAGATGGTGTTGTAAGGATCTGGGTATAGGTTCTTTGTATATAGGTTCTTTTTGTATAGGTTCTTTGGAAGTTTGGGAAAACATTTTTTTGCTTGAGAAATATGTTATCCCTTTTACTTGTTTTTACACATTTGGACTCTGTCCTAAATCTGTCTGAAGTTTTTCTGTTCTAAAATATTTGAAGTCTCCTGCTCTAGAAACCTGAGACCTATCTAGAATGAATATGTATTAGAAAATGAAAACATAGATTATCATAATTTATATTTTTCAGTGAACAGACTTTTCAATTATATTTCTATTCCTAATGATGTTTTCTGTAGCCTAATACCAAAATGACATTGAGGTGATTGAACACACTATTAATAGGGTGGGGAAGTGATTAGAGTTAAAACTTTATGGTGAAAATGGCCAATTTACAGCACAGGGTTCACGCCCCACACCAGGCAGGTCTTGGTGCCTTTAAAGGCTGCACTAAGCATGATGTAATGACAGGTTAAACCTCTGAATGCCTGAGCTGACGCAGTGCAGATAGGAGGCCGTGGACTTTACTGGGGCAAGGGTAATGCTTATTTAAAAACAAAACAAGCTACTCTGTTTAATGAGGCCGTTTAAGATGGTTTTCCTAGAGTAGGAAGAGAATAAGATCTAAATTTGGAGGTTAAAGCGGGAGTTTAATATGGATATGTGTGCTTACTACTCTCACTACAAAATCTTGAAGAGAGAAGGAGTTTAAGGTGCTGACGGCGGTAAAAATGGAGAAGTGAGTTACAGTTGAGGAAATAGGTAGTTAACGCCCGTTAAATAGTTACTGAACAAAGTAGGGAGAATGCTTTTACTTTATAAAAATCTAGCGTCCGCAGGGTTAACTTCCTTGAGTATATAGTGCAGAGATGTGTGCTTGTCTGGTCGCGTATTTCCCATATATTCTGTGTAGACTTTGGGTTGAAACCATGCAAAATTGCCGATATCCGACTGTTTGGGCCTACAGAAATGGAGTGTTTCAGCTTTCTAGTAAGCTGATGGAAGTGCTGAGGCGTGCACAGTATCACCGCAGATTGAGGATCGCGGGGTTTTGCGCGGGGTTTTACTCGGCTGGGAGCCTGGGTGGGAGTTGCGCGCTCCTTGTCCAGGAGCAGCTTGGGAGCTGCCCCAGACAGGGTGGGGCGGAGCCTTAAGCCCCGCCCCCGTACGCCTCCCCGCCTCTCGCCAGCCGCCGCAGCCTCCGCCCAGTGCAGAGACAGCCTGCGGCCGCCTGGCACTGCGTTGGCGCAGACTCTCCAGCTGCGGGCCGGATCCTGCAGTAGTATCTCAAGCTGGCACCGAGAGCGCACGTAATCGACCAGTCGCCTCTACGCACCCTTCAGCCCTGTTCTTCACCGAGCTGGCAGGAGCCTAGCCGATGAATTTGGGGAAGACAGACTTCCGAAACAGACGAAGGTTTAGGGCCCAGCAGAGGACAGCTCAGCAATGGCTCCCATTTTTGGAGACGCAGGCGAATTTGAGCTCATGGGGAGGTGTGGTCGACTCCTCTTGGAACAGGAGTGGGCATCAATTCTCTTCTTCAGTAGCCAGTGCTTCTGAGGAGTGAATGGAGTGTGTATGGAGTAGGGCATGTGCCTCCTTTTGAAAACTAGACCCAGGACATGTTTAGGAACAGAAGGTATCCAGGAGAGCCCTCTGTTGCAAGTTGTCTTTGCCTCTGGGGGAAAGGCTGTGAGCTCTCTGACTTCTCATGACCGGGAAGTCTCCCTTACCTTTTCTGTACTCCTGGAGAGGCGTCTTGCTCACTTGTTTACCAGCATCTGGGACAAGGAAGAGAAAAGGTATTGCCATCAAGAGACTGTGTTGCTTAAGCTGTGAAACGGGAAAGTTGTTTTGAGCCTCTGAAACGGATCAGGAAATTGCTGCAACAAAATTGAGCTGGCAGTGATGTTCTTTTGATCAGCCGTGCTTTTCTCAGTTTAAACCAAACTTCAGGTTATGTCATGACTGCTGCAGAGCTTTCCAGACACTTCAGTCCTTGGTTCCTACTGCACGGCTGCTGTGGTGTGTTTGGATTATTTTTCTGTGTGAAGATGGACTGAGTTCCACCTTCCGAGCTTTGGGAAGTTTTAGCAGCTACTGTCCTATAATACTTAAATTCACCAGAAATAGAAGCCATATTTTACTTGTTTTCACAGTTTGAATAGGAATTTTAAGTTGTGTTTTGTACATTTGGGAAAATAATAATGTATATTGTAATGTGAATCTGGACTATTGATAAATGTATAACTTTTGCTAGGTCAAAAAATGAAACAGTAATATTCTTGCTTAGTTACGTTGAATACAAACTGAGTTTAGTGACCAGCTGTTTTTGGTTTAGTGATTTGAAAGGCATGGGCTTAGATTTTGTGCCCAGGGAATCACTTCTCAGTTATTATGTTGCTCTCTTAAATGAGCCACATAAAATGGACCATGAAATAAGCATATATACGGGACACTTTGGCAATGCTAAGCCATTGTTTTACTAGTGAGCTAAAATAAAATGCATGGATCATCATAGGCAGAAAAAAATCTCAGGGGTAAACTGGATTTCACGAGAGTTCCTTCATAGTGTTTTTTGTTGGGCTGAACACTTTGGTTATACAGGGCTTCAGTGATGAGAGTTGATTCCTGTTGTCTTAAATCCGTGTGATGAACCATGTTATGATAGAAGTCTTGTGATCCCTTTTTTTCCCCTTGAACTTGAGAATATTCCTTTAGTGACAGTGGAATTGCTCTATTTGGGGGTTTCCTGGGGGAGAGGTTTCGCTCTCAATCCCCATTTAAGGTGTCTGTCCTGAGTAATCTATGAGTATGTGCTTGTGCTCATCAGTACATGGGGTCTGACTCTTTGTCACTCTGTGGACTGTAGCCCACCAGGCTCCTTGGTCGATGGGAATTTCCCAGGTAAGAAAACTGGAGTGAGTTGCCATTCCCTCCTCCAGGGGATCTTTCCGACCCAGGGATGGAACCTGTGTCTTCTGCCTTGGCCAGTGGATTCTTTACTACCAGGCCACCTAGGATGTGCTATCTATGAGTAATAGAACCCAGATTGCATTTATGTGGTCTCATTGATAATCAGCATTATTTTTTTCAACATTAAATTCTTTCCAACAGAATGACAATTATAATTAAGGAAACATTAACATTTAGAAGTTGTTAAATTTTGATATTGTAGAAATATGGCTTGTGGTTATTAAGTATATACTGTTAAGACATAAGTGGACTGATTTTTTGTCATCCCCAAGAAAGCGGCCCACTATATCCTGGGAAAAGGTGCTTGTTTTATCTTTTATTCAGCTTGACAAGTTAGTTAACATTGTTCATCATTTCTTCCAGATGGAATTTATTTCTTAAATAATGTTTAATACTGTGCTGATGAATGCTTCAGCAACACTGGTGAACTCTATAGTAGAGTATAAGGAATTCTTTACCTGTTGACTCTGTCCCTCACCCCTAATGTTGTGTGAGTCTCTCTGATACTTTTTATCTTTATTCTTTATCTTTTCCTGACTCTCCTTCCTCTTTGCAAATTATACCTGATTTATATTGTAACAGAATGATTTGCTTCCAAATACCAGACTCACATCTTTTAGAGGGTGGCCCTCTATTTCACCTATATACTTCCTCAATTTTGAAGGGGGTCACAGATTGGTAGGAAACAAGATTAAGATCTAGCTGGTGTTAACATTCATGGAGATGGATGATGGGATGGCATCCCAAATAGATCTCTTGAGCAGATAATATTTACCATTAGGAAGAGTAATCAAAAGTCAGTACCCTGGTGATCCCTTGGATCATGTAGAACTCACTGAGGCTGTCAACAGCTGACTTAAGAATGGGGAAGAAATAGAATGAGTAGGGCAGTTGAACACAGAGAGGCAGGGGAAATTCCAGTCAAAACTGATTTCATTGAACTTAACAGTGCTCCCTAGTTGTTTAGGATCCAAGTTTCTATTTTAGCATTTATTCCATGTAGTCCATCCAAGGATGATTTTTTAACATTTTTTAGAAAAAGGGAACGTGCTCTGGAACATTGTGAAAACAGATTTTATCCAATGTACAGTGCACATATTTTGTGTAATCGATGTTGTTTTAAACCCTGTTTGTTTTATTTTGCTTACAGTAAACTTTGCACTATAAGTATTTTTGGCAAATGTTATTTATATAAAACATGTTATAGTTGTAATTATTTTTATCCTGCCTCCTTATACTTTTGTGTTTTTTATTACAGAAATGAGCCGTCAGACTGCAACAGCATTACCTACTGGAACCTCAAAGTGCGCGCCGTCCCAGAGGGTGCCTGCCCTGACGGGCACAACCGCCTCCAACAATGACCTGGCGAGTCTCTTTGAGTGTCCCGTCTGCTTCGACTATGTGTTACCACCCATTCTTCAGTGCCAGAGTGGCCATCTTGTTTGTAGCAACTGTCGTCCCAAGCTCACATGTTGTCCAACTTGCCGGGGCCCGCTGGGATCCATTCGCAACTTGGCTATGGAGAAAGTGGCCAATTCAGTACTTTTCCCTTGTAAATACGCCTCTTCTGGATGTGAAATAACTTTGCCACACACAGAAAAAGCAGATCACGAAGAGCTCTGTGAGTTTAGGCCTTATTCCTGTCCGTGCCCTGGTGCTTCCTGTAAATGGCAAGGCTCTCTGGATGCCGTCATGCCGCATCTGATGCATCAGCACAAGTCCATCACAACCCTGCAGGGAGAGGACATAGTTTTCCTTGCTACAGACATTAATCTTCCTGGTGCTGTTGACTGGGTGATGATGCAGTCCTGTTTTGGCTTTCACTTCATGTTAGTCTTGGAGAAACAGGAAAAATATGATGGTCACCAGCAATTCTTTGCAATTGTACAGCTGATAGGAACACGCAAGCAAGCTGAAAATTTTGCTTATCGACTTGAGCTAAATGGTCATAGGCGGCGATTGACTTGGGAAGCCACTCCTCGATCTATTCATGAGGGAATTGCAACAGCCATTATGAACAGTGACTGCCTAGTCTTTGACACCAGCATTGCACAGCTCTTTGCAGAAAACGGCAATTTAGGCATCAATGTAACTATTTCCATGTGTTGAAATGGCAATCAAATATTTTCTGGCCAGTGTTTAAAACCATTGCATTCAATTTCACAGAGAATAAGGCACCTGTCTGCCTACCAACCAAAAACTTGTGGTAGGTGGAAGCTAGACACATGAAGGTAAATAAAAGGAAAGGCTGTTAAATACAGGAAACAGTTGCATGTAATAACACTAATATATTTAAAAATAAGTCAACAGTAAACCACTGAAAAATAAATATATATATATATATACACCCAAGATGGGCATCTTTTGTATTAAGAAAGGAAGCATTGTAAAATAATTCTGAATTTGTGTTTGTTGTAGATCGAGTGTACCGTTGAGAAATACTGGGTTCTTGTTTTGCTTGTTTTGTTTCTTTGTGTGCCTGTGCCTGTGCGTGCGCGTGAGTGTGAGTGTGTTTGGGTTTTTTTTCCTTTAACTGACAAGCCATGCTGAGTGGTCTTGGACCACTGCTTTTCCCTCTGTGAGTCAATACATAGTGCTGCTGTGTGTGTATATTTTTTTGTGTGTGTATTTGCTAATTTTTATTAATTCTAGTTTTTCATTAAATAAATTTGACTTTCTTTTCTGTAATTCAGGTTTTTCCTCACTTTTTTTTGTACCTTTTAAAGTTAGTGTCTTTTTGATATGCATAATTGTTGATGGTAAAATTTATACATGTGTTCAATACATATTTTCTTTCCCCCCATTAATCAGTTCATTAGAAATATTTTAAATTCAACTGTTTTGTGAAGATACGAGTTTCAGAAAGGAAAGATAACATCAGAAGAGTTATCAGAAGCTATTTAAAGCAGCTATAAAGTGGTCTCCTTCTCTTCTCCAGTTGAGTCATATTAAAACTTATTCTTTGTAAGATTAGGGAGTACTGATTTTTTTTTTTTAATACTGGGGAAAAAAAATCAGGCTCTCCCTTCCCCCCACATATCTTGGACAAATCACATATGTTTAAAATTTGTTCTTGTATTTATTGGTTTTGCAAAAGAAGGCATCGTCTCACACAGTATTTGTAATTAAAAGCAAATCATTTGTTTAAAAAAAAGGCAGTTTGCAAAAAAATGTTTTTGGTCTTTTATAATTCTCATTAAAAGAATATCTGGCAAATTAAAAACTCTTACGTGTCTGCTTTAGCTCTTAAGTTTGAAGATATAGCAAAAGAATGGGTTATGGCCTCTGTTCGGCCTACAGAGTCTAGTTTTCTTCCTTTCTCTAGCTTTCATTTTGACTCTCATAACTCTGTTAGGAGGCCAGTTAAAATACTGATCACTCCCCACTCCCAACCCCCACCCCCCTTTAACAGCAGAAAAATGAGTTGGTGTCTTACAGCCTAGTGGTTAGAGCCTGGCTTCTGCAGCCAGACTTCAGGGACCTACACGCCTCTGCTACCTTTACTCACTAATCAGCTGTGTGATGTTGGGCTCCCCTTTACTAGTGTGTAAAATGGGGTTAATTATGGTAGCTACCTTCGAGGGTTAAATGGGATGGATACAAGTTACCAAGGACGGTGCTCTGCACTTAATAAGCACCCAACAAATGTTAGATGCTGCTATTATACCTATAACTGGCACCATCTAGTTAACTGTTGCTAGTTACCCTGAAGCACCTAAAAAGATTCTGAAATTGCCCTCTGATTGGCTAGAGATCATTTTATTTTGTGTGGGTTTTATGGGTACCCTAAAGGTAGAAAGTCAATCTACAAAATTTGGGCTCCCCCTCCCCCCATCCCTTACCCTACCACCAATTCTGGGTGTAACAGTTTACTTCTGTTAACCATTTTCAGGAAAGAAGTTTGTGTAGTTTCTTTCCTACATATAGCATTATTTTTTGAACCGATTGTAATGTGTGCTTGCATAGCTGTTTATGTTGTGAAAGGGAGCAGATCAACCACCAGTGTGTATCCATCCAGGTCTATTCCTGTTGGCATGAATGCTAGAAAAATGACTTTTCCTCCTCATTTAATATATTTTTGTGGCAGTATATCATTTTATATTTAAAATATTTTAAAATGTTTTTATTGTAAAAGCAGTATATGTTTAATATGTAGACTTTGGTACACACAAGAGTCTAATTTTATCCATTCAGAGATGATTACAAACATTTTCATTTTCCTAGTTCTTTATGTGTATTTACATGTGTTTACACACATTTATTTTGAAATTATATAATTTGGGATCATGTAATTATGTAACTCTCTCACCCTCACACATCATGTGATCATCTAAGCATTTCCTCACTTATAATAATCTTGGAAATACATCATTTTGGGTAACTTTTGTGAAGATTGACTATAATTTTAGCCAGGTCCCCAGCATTGGATATTTGCTTTGTCCAGTTTGTCCATGTAATTTTTCTGGCTAATTTTAAATAGCCTGTGAACATTTCTAATACATTTTCTGGTTATATTCTTTGGGTTTTTTTTTTTTTTTAAGGTCATGATACTGTTTTCATTGCTTTCCGGAGAAGTTTCAGTGGAAACTTACGGTAGTAAAATGAAGGGTTTTGCATTTCATTATAACCTCATGTTTTGCCAATTTATGCCTAAGATAAATTGTGTGTCTGCTGGTAATAAGGTTGATATTTTGGTATTTGTTAACTGTATATCTTCTTAGTAGTCCTTATATTCTTGGCCTGTAGGTCTAGAGTTGTAGTTCTTGGTTCATTTCAGGTTTGATCTATGAGGTCTAACTCTCGTTCTTAAATCATCTCTGTTGTCATCAATGTCCTACTTTTACTGATGCCCCTACTCCTGGAGTCTTTGTGTTTTGTTTCAGGGGACTATATAGATTGAAGTGAAGTGAAGTGAAAGTCATTCAGTTGTGTCCGACTCTTTGCGACCCCATGGACTCTGTATGGTCCATGGAATTCTGTAGGCCAGAATGCTGGAGTGGGTGGCCTTTCCTTTCTCCAGGGGATCTTCCCAACCCAGGGATCGAACCCAGGTCTCCTGCATTGCATGTGGATTCTTTACCAGCTGAGCCACCAGGGAAGCCCAGTAGAGTTAAGGGGAGGTGATATTCTTTGTTATTTTATATTAAATATGAATTTATTCTGTTGAATCATGGACTAGTTAAATATGTGAATTTATCCTGTTGAATCATGGACTAGTTTAATATGTTAATGATTGTTGGGGAATTTTTTTCTTCTGCTCTAATTTTTTTTTTTAAATCATATGTGTGCCTAGGCCCACAATACTACAAACTTTAAACTTAAGCTAATGGCTATAAATGTTTTGGCTCACCAAAAATCTTAGTTGTGCCCACCTTCCCTGCAGCTCAAGAGCTCTTTATATACAGGAACATCTGCAAATGATTCTACTAATGGTGGAATTTTATTTCATTCAGATTCTTGAGTAGAAGAATTGGTAAGTAACCCAACTGAAAAAAACAAAACACTGAACAAAACTTAAACATTCTGGGGGCCAGCCCGTGATGGGTGCATTAGATCTAGAGTAAGATCAGAACACACAGGGTGAAAGTGAGTACTATAGTCATTTATGTAGGTTACACAAGAAAGGAACAGATAGAATGTTAGGGAAATTGATAGACTGAATGCACTGCTAGAATCTTAGTCATTCTCTTCCCCACCTATCAGTGTGCTTGTTCTAAACATAAAGGATAATTTGGTGGCTTACTGCTTATGATTTTAAGCTAGTTGAGTCATTTACCAAAAGAAACTCAGTTTTATCTGAAAACAGCATCCTCCTCCAAATTCACCCACTAAAATGTAAACTGTGGGCTCTAGGTTCTAACTGCCTGGGTTTTAGTCCTGACCTACTCCCTACTAGCTGGTGTAACTTTGCTCCTCTAGGTGTACTAAGAGGTGTAATGACATCAGCCTCCTAAGAAAATGAGGACGGTTAAGTGTGCTGTAACGTGCTTATCCTGATGTCTGGTATTATAGCCTCATTGTCTGCTAAAACAGACATTTTCCTTAACCTTGTACAGACTGAAGAATTTTCTTTGAAAATTACTTCTCTTAGGCTTTTCTACATTTTGAAAAGAAGCAACAGTGGTTATGAAAGAACACTTGGTTTTATAATAAAGGCACCTCTTGATAAGTTTGCATTGTGTCAAGACTAGGGTTTAGCCTAAAGGGTTTTAGTTCCTATTGCCTAGAAATGTACTATGTTAGAATTTAATTTAAAAATTATGACTTTTTTATGTCCAAGAATGTTAAACACATTCTTTAGCTCATTGATAGTACAAACCATACCTGCTGATAAGTCACTTCAGTTGTGTCTGACTCTGTGCGACCCCATAGACGGCAGCCCACCAGGCTCTCCTGCCCCTGGGATTCTCCAGGCAAGAATACTGGAGTGGGGTGCCATTGCCTTCTCCAACAAACCATACCTAATGTGTTCCAAATAAGTGAATTTTCATATCAAATAAAGGTTTTCCTAGATTAAAAAAAAAAACGATATNAAATGTCTGTCACTGTTCCATTGTTTCCCCATCTATTTGCTATGAAGTGATGGGACAGGATGTCATGATCTTCATTTTAAATGTTGAGTTTTAAGCAAGCTCTTTCACTCTCTTCTTTCACTTTCATCATAAGGCTCTTTATTCCCTCTTTGCTTTCTGCCATAAGGGTGGTGTCATCTGCATATCTGAAGTTATTGATATTTCTCCCCACAATCTTGATTCCAGCTTGTGCTTCGTCCAGCCTGCCTATTCTCATGATGTACTCTGCATATAAGTTAAATAAGCTGGCTGACAATATATAGTCTTGACGTACTCCTGTCCCAATTTGGAACCAGTCTGTTGTTCCATGTCCAGTTCTAACTCATGCTGCCTGACCTGCATACAGGTTTCTCAAGAGTCAGGTCAGGTGGTCTGGTATTCCCATCTCTTTCAGAATTTTACAGTTTATTGTAATCCACACAGGATTGGATCATAAATCATCAAATTGGGTCATGACTGTAAAACTTTGTAGTCTTGACATTTTAAGTGGCTGGATAAAATTTTCATGAAGATGGGCACTCAAATACAACTTATTTTTGCCAAAATAATGTGAACTTGAACAAGTTACACTTAATTAAAAAACAAAAATTCCTGATTTTTTAACATCTAATAGTCCCAGATAAACTACAGATTTGGAAGGAGACTTGGCAAAATTAACATTCTTTGTGGTTTAGTGTCAAGTTCCTTAATTATAGGAAGGTTTTTCTCATTTCAGTGGTCAGTGAAAAAAAAATAGCCCACTCTACCCTCAGCAGTCGGTTACCTCACAACATGGTAGAGTTTGATAAGGTTTAAATGTGGGCCAGTCACCTAGTCTAGGGAGCTCCTGATGGTAGACATCACTAGGTCACTGTGTTCAGATGACAGGAAGCAGAAAACCTCTGCATTTCAAGCAGCCTTTACAACTCAGATGGCACTGGAAATGGAAATGAATTTACAACTCCATTCTTCTTGTGAAGATGATCTGTACTTTGACTAGAAAGCAAATCTTGACTAATGTCAAAGGAAGAAAAGAAATCTATTTTTTTAACTCCCCTTATTTAAAAAAATTCAGGTATGTTTAATATCTTTTAAATACCACTCACATAGTCAGAAGACCTTAACTATGGTCCAATATGTGTGCTGTTCAGTTGCCAACTCATGTCCAGCTCATGACCCTGTGGACTGAAACAGCAGGCTTCCCTGTCCCTCACCATCTCCCAGAGTTTGCCCAAGTTCATGTCCACTGACTTGGTGATGCCACCCAACCATCTGATCCTCTGTCACCCTCTCTCCTGCCTTCAATCTTTGCCAGCATCAGGGTCTTCCAATGATGTGTAAACAGATGTTAAAAAGGATCACTCACTGTGATGGCATCTTCCACTGTATTTGCATATAGATGATTAAAAGCACTAAAGATGTCTGACATGGTTTGCAGTAAGGTTCAAAACAGAAGGGGAAGAGCAAAGTAAAAAGCATGTGTGCCTCAAGCAGTATAAACTTTCTTGGTTTCCAAGGCACTTAAAAGTTTTATATAGTTTTAATACTCAAAAATTTTTAAAGCCCATGCATAAAAAGCATGAGAGCACTGGATAAATACATTGATTAACAAGCCTTTGCCTGTAGGCCTGCTGAACTGGAATTTAGTTAGCAGTTCTCAAAAAACCCAGCT